CGTCGAGGGCTTTACGTGATACCCGCCGATAGTTTAGTGAATCAAGAGATAGCGGCTACCCTGTCTAGCTGATTCGGATGGATAAAAATACTCCAGTTTTGAAAAAATTCCAAGCAGTACCCAACAGTGAAAGCAGAGAAAGAGCAAAAACTCCTCTGCATTAAAAAAGTTCAGGCGGAGAAGGACCTGGCTGCACTTGGAACTTTCAATTGGCGAAAAGAATTAATGTTCTATTGTTAACTCGGCTAAAATGGCTTAAGTTTCAACTCATCATAAAAAGAATTTTTGTAGGATTGCCAAGTGTTTATTTTTAAATTTTTCTTTAAAACTACTAAACTATACATATATAAGGTTGTCAAATATCTCTCTTCCGCTTTTTTGTCTTGAATTTCGCGGCTATGTTCAAAGCGCTACAGATCTCGTATCTGGCAACACTATACATAATTTGAAAGGTCTTGACGTAACCTACAAAACAACGCTATGCATGATTAGTTTGGATATTGCGTTCAACAGTTATAGACGTATAAACATGGAGTTCACTAACGCCGAAATTCGCGCTATTTTAGAGTTTTCCTTCGTTAAAGGCAAATCCGCTAGAGAAACGTTCCGTGAGATTAATGGCGACGATTCATAGCCGGTGAAAACGACACCATGGATAAGCCAGCCGGCGGAAGACCTGTGACGACAAAACTGATCAAATCATGGAATACATCGAGTTAGGCCGGCATATGGCATCTCGTGACATCGCCCAGGAGATGGGAGTTAGTCACCAAACCATTTTGAACCATCTGCAGAAGGCTGGATACAAAAAAGTTTGATGTTTGGGTGCCGCATAATGTGACGCAAAAAAACCTTCTGGACCGAATCAACGCCTGCGATATGCTGCTGAAACGGAACGAACTCGACGCATTCTTGAAGCGGATGGTGACTGGCGGCAAAAAACTGATCACATACGACAATATCAAGCGAAAACGGTCGTGGGTGAATCGTCCCAAACAGTGGCCAAGCCGGGATTGACGGCCAGGAAGGTTTTGCTGTGTGTTTGGTGGGATTGGAAGGGAATCATCCACTATGTGCTGCTCCCATATGGCCAGACGCTTAATTCTACCATCTACTGCGAACAACTGGACCGCTTGAAGCAGCCGATCGACCAGAAGCGTCCAGAATTGGCCAACAGGACAACGCCAGACCACACACTTCGTTGATGACTCGTCAGAAGCTACGGAAGCTCAGATGGGAGGTTTTATCGCATCCACCATATAGCCCGGACGTAGCGCCAAGAGATTACCACCTGTTCCTGTCCATGACGAATGCCCTTGGTGGTGTGAAGTTGAACTCAAAAGAGGCTTGTAAAAAGTGGCTGTCCGAATTCTTCGCAAATAAGGAGAAGCGCTTCTACGAGGAAGGTATTATGAAGTTGCCGTCTAGATGGAAACAGATCATCAAACAAAACGGCGCATATTTTAACTAAGTCCCATCACTGGAACACTTTTTATAAAGCATTGAATGAAGAGCAAAAAATATAAGGCTTTGTACTGAATGCCCGTCGGATCAACCGGGGCAGCTCTTGTTAAGGTCAATAAGCGGAGACCTGTTAGCTCTATGCGGAGACTTATATGCTGAAAACTTTTTGATTCTTTTTCATATATTTTAACACAGTAGTTTATAAGTTATAATAAACAACGAAACCACTTAAAAACCTAATAAAAATTAGAATTCCATGCGGACCGAATCGCGGTCGACTAGAAATTCTTATGTAAAAATCTTAGCTTGGTTTGAAAAGTTCCATGTACCTCAAAAAGTTATAAGGCGATTGAATTGATTCTGGCAAAAGTGTTTGGGGAAAGGTTGGTAAGAAAAAATTTTTTGGGTAGAGGACCAAAAATTGACCTATTCGAAAAAGTCTTATTTATGGTTCGATTGACATGAAATTCCAATTATGTATCGGCTTTTGATTAGATTAGTCCCGCCGGAAAGAGAACTAGAAACAGAGCTACTCACAGAATGTATTAATAATTCGTTTTACTTGAAATTCTCTTTTTACGGGAAGGGAATCGATCTATTTGAAAAAATTATATATATTCATGGTTTACTTCAATTACATTTCCGGAAGATATGAACGAATTAGAATACTTTTGTTTGGTTGGATCAGGCACCGGGAACCAAGTTGGACTTGGACGAAATATGAAAAATAATTCTTTATAAGACAACAATTCCCGTCAGGCTGACAAAAATAAGTGTGATCGAGCTTAGTTATACTCGTTTCGAGGGTTACAAGCTATTCCAATACGAACAACTTAAGCATGAACAAGAATAGAACCGAATGGTGCTTTTAACTTACTTCGAGGCGTTCATATTGACGGTTTTATGAAAGACTTTGTGCAGCGAAAAAGTGACCCACATAATACGAATTTTGATATCAATCAATTATATAATAAAAACCCCTAAAATTGCACTAAAACGATCTTACTTGGGGATTTGTATCGTTCTTTACAATATCAATTAGAACAAAAATTGGAAAAAATGCAGAAAGCCAAAGCAATGTTTAGACGGGCTTGCTGGTAATTAATAAAAATCAAAAAAAATAATATAATAATAATAATAATATATAATTATAATATATATATAATTATAATATATATATAATAATAATAATTTAATAAATAAAATACAAAAAAAAATTTATATAAATAAATACAAAAAAAATTATTCATATAAATAAATACAAAAAAATTATTCATATAAATAAACACAAAAAAAAGTTATTCATTTAAATTAATACAAAAAAAAATGTTTTCATACAAATAAAATTATTCGTATAAATAGACAAAAAAAAAATTATTCATATAAATAAACACAAAAAATAAGTAGGAGCGCCTTATAGTGGTCACTCTTCTTGTTTAAGGGGTAGAGCCGCTCTTTGACTTTTATTTTTGACTTTGATTTTGGAAAACGCAATTTTTTTCTCGCAGGGTACTCTTGGGTCCTAGAAATGATACACAATTGGTTTTAATGTAAAAAAAATAGTTTATATAGCTGAACTTGTTATTTTGATGCAGCCCCTCAGAGTATACGCCGAGTACAATGAGAAATTTTAGACGCGTTTTTCTCAAAAACACAAATTTCAAACTGGGTGGACAAATTATTCGGACCCTATTGCATCGATATATCTGGAATTTTGATGGTAGCTTCACAAAAAAAAAATTTTCCCCATATTCCTACAATAATTAAAAAAATTAGTATTTTTCAACCACCCCTTTAACACACAAGTACCGCCTCCACATAGGTGGTACCGCGCTAAACCCGCTATCTCTACACTTATCTAATCTCAAATGGAAATGAATTTATTTTTGTTTCTTAATTCGTGTGAGAAAATGGTTGGCTTTAACTAAATTGCTTAATTTGCACATTGCTAAGCCAAAATTTTGCACTTGAGCTGAATGAAACACACTGAATTCATGGGGAATGTGCATAAATACCTAGTTAGTATAATTTAGCTTACCATTTAGAATCATTTTCAATTAATTGAACAAAAATATTCGCCTAAACGACGTAGAAAACGAAATTAATTTAAAGCAATTTAATCCCAAGCGCAAAAAGCAAACTAACTAAACATGTTTAAATCAGTATGTATGTATGTAAATATATTTAATGGAGGAGGGATTAAAGTTTTTTTTTTTTTAATTTTATGTTGTCCATATTTTGTCTGGTACACAAGCGCATATGTAACATGTAATAAGTATAAACGAAACATAATTTTATAAATCACTCTGTCAGCCGTCATAAAAAGAAAACTGCATCAACTGATAAAGTCATCCCTCAGGTATTTATGGGCCGGATTAAGATAGTGATGTTGAAAGTAAAAGTAAAACTGTTTAAACAAAAAAAAACAACACGTTGCAAAAATTATGTTTCGTTTCCTTCTTCTTCTTTTTCTTCTTCTTATTTACGGGCGTAGACACTGTTTACTCAATTATAACAGAGGGAACTTATATCAAGTAAACAAATGTCGAAATAATATTTACCGTTCAATGATTCCTACAACTTTGGTATGTGTAAGTTTTTGACCATAATCGGAATGTAAGACAAGGGTGACTCAAATTATCAAATAATTTTTTATTACCATTTTATACTTAAGAAGTGATAATTAAGGGTTAAAGCCCCTCTAGGATTTGGATTTTGGAAAACGTATTTTTTTTTTACTCGCTGGGTACTTTTTGGACCTAGAAATAATATTAAATTGGTTTTAAAGTGAAAAAAATAGTTCATATAGCTGAACTTTTTATTTTGCTGCAGCACCTCAGAGTATATGCCGAGTACCATGAGAAACTTTAAACGCGTTTTTCTCAAAATCACATTTCTTAAACTTGGAGGACAGAATATTCGGACCCTGTTGCATCGATTCATAGGAAATTTTGATGGTAGCTTCACAATTACGTAGCTGTTTTTCGAATAAATATAAACTTTTTTTTTTTAATAATTTAGTGCGTATTTTTTTTTTTTTCTTTTTGTCAAAAATCAATCTTAAAAAAAAAAGTGTATCGCTTTCAAAAAAATTAGTTATGAAATAAATCCTTATTACTTCCAAACACCATATTTGGTAGATCATAAAATTTTTGCTTTTCTGTTCTAGGTCTCATCCTTTAGAAGAAATCGGTCCTCCCATGGAGCCCTTGCAACAAAACATGGTTTAAATAATAGACTTTATCCCCGCCATTTTGTAACAAAATAATAATTAAAGAATACTTTTTTCCACTTCAATATATGTTTGTTCAATGAACTGGTTAAATAGAAATTCTTTTCCTTTTCCCAAATTCCTACAATAATTAAAAAAAATAGTATTTTTCAACCTTTAGTGGTTTTAGCCCTTAAATGAGTGGAATCCTCATACTCATTGATCGCAATTTCTCTTATGCAACTTTTTATTCTAATATCGACACTGTATTTACAGGTTTTTGAAACAGTATATGTAAATATGTATGTACGTATCATCAACTTACCGTCTCTTCCGTTCCTCATCCATGCCGTATCGTTTCGATTTGATTACTTCTGTTGTTGTTTTTATTGTGATCTCTTTCACTTATATTCAATTTACTCTGTTGCTTAGCATTCAATTTAACACAAACAAAGGGATTTATTTTAATTATTATTATTATTATTTGTATTGTCTTTATTGTATTACTATCGTTGTTGTCAGTGTTATTATTATTATTATTATTGTTGTTGTTGTACTTGTTTATCGCACAAACTGTACTCCACCGCATAGTAGCATCAGTTGCACGCTTTTGTATTGGCTTGCCACTCGTCGGCAGCGGCAGCGACAGCGTATAGCATTATCGTTATAAATTTTATTTCAGACAATGCCCCCTTGGGTGATGTGGGTTGTTTGCTGGTGACAACGCCACAGAGCCAGCGTCATTAAAATGAAATTGTGCATACAAAAAGCGCAACACTTCCGCCACAAGACGCAAAGTATGCTGGTTGGTAATAGCGCGCGTTGAATTGCTGTAAAGAAAATTTCTTGAATGGCACTGCTGTATATTTTTAACAAGAAGCTTAGAAGTTCAGCAAGTAAACAAAACAAAACAAAAAAAAAAAGCACGGCTTTTGTTTTGCTGTAGCTTTTTAGGTCGTTAAACGCCTTTCGCCCTTCGCCCATCTATTGTCTTTATTGCTGGTGACAAATTTTTCGTGTTTTTATCAAATCACTATGGTTTGTTGTAGTCGTTACTTATTCACCATGCACTCTAACCTTTGCAGACATTGTGTAGTTGTAAGCGTTTTTGTTGGGGGTCTTGCGCGAGTTTTGGCACTTTCGACAATGGAGCTTATTTGTTTGCCTTACGTATTCATACTTCCTCTACGGTTAAAATTTTTACAAAATACTTTTTCTCAATTTCCCTAATTTCTTTTCGTACGATCGTGACACTACACTATTGCACAGTGCTTTTTATCGCGTTTACACTTTTGTCTTTTATTTATTTATTTATTTATTTTTTTTTTTTGAAGTATTCTTTGTTTACTATTGTTGCCGTGCCATCCCGCTGAAGGGTTATGTGATGTAGTCTGGCGCACTTGGAGACATGGTCTCTCTCTTTTTGCTTATTATTCACCCCTATTTATGCCTGTTCATTCGGTCATTGCTTGTACACAGTTGAGCACAATTAAATTTAACTTTTTCCACCGTTTTCGCTATTTATTTATTCTTTTATTTGATTTGCTTTTGGCTTGCTATCCAATAGTATATTTTTAAGATTTACGTTCTTGCTTATTTGTAATACAATGGCCGTTACTGTTACCGATTTACTTGAGTTTTTGTTGTTTTTTAAATTATAGACCGCGCTTTTTATTATTTTTTTTTTTGCTCTTGTTGCTGAAATGGTGATTTGAGGTTGGTTTGCGATAAGGCCACCACCGCAAAGGGGCAAGCAAGTGGTGTTTTGTGAGCGTGGCAAGGCTTCGGGAGTGATATTAATTTTTCGCTACAACTTTGTCTGGAAAGATAAAAGAAAAAATAAATATTTTTTTTTAATTATCTACATACATTCATGCATACATACATTTATACATACATACATACGTATATGTTATTACTCATTATTGACAAAATTTAAGCATTTTAATTAAAGAATATAGTTAAATTCATGATAATATTTGGGAATACTTCAATTTTTTTTTTGCAAATTTGTTACGAGGCTCTATCAAATGCACAAGTATGTACAACAAAATGTACATAGATGAGATTTTCTTAAGGTTGTTAACTTATTACTCATCACAAAACTCCATTATTAAAAAATACTCATTATTGGATACACGAATAAATATTAAATATGTAATTTAATTATTACTGGTCTTTGGGTTGGATGTAGTTATACAGGGTGTATTTTACTATGTTAATGGCAGATAAACAATTTTTCTTGAACACAAAATATATGAACATATTCTATTATACCCTTCAGAAAGGTTTATCGCTTGCTAGATTTTACTTTGCTGTTGGTATATTTAATTAAATTTTGTAATATTTTATCGATTATCAATTCATTCGTATTACCCTACACCCGTGATCGCGGCTATTTACATACCGCCCACTAAGATATGAATTAAGTGTGACAATGGTAATTGTATAACAAAACACCCTGTAATTATGATAAGTCACATTTTTGAGTGAAATATGCATAAACAATATTTCCAGCTAAGTAAATTAATAGATACAAATGTGTGTATTTTATTTTAAATATTTGCATAAATTACCTGCAAACTCAGCAGTTCATGTGAAGTATTACAAAGTGCGGCCAAATCGCGTTGAGCAAACGGAAGACGACTATAGTGCAACGCAACAAAGAGACAAGAGCCAAAGTCAGTCAGTCACTCAGTCAGTCAGTCTCTGGGCCACTCAGCAAAACAAACAAAAAATACAGCACAACCGAGCGACCATTCATACCTACAGTCAGACTGCCAGGCAGGCAAACAGACAGAATAGAAGTTTGTGAACGAGATACGAAACATGAAACGTTAACAATACTTACATATACAAAAATACGTAAGAAGTGGGTAACAAAAAAGATTAAAAAATATGGTAATAATAGAAGGAAATATACCGAATCGCGAACAACGGCAAATACCAAATGCTGTGTGTTTGCCTGACGGACTGTCTGCCTATAAGTTTGAATGTGGCTTGGTCAAACGTTGATTTGCAGACAGTTGGATGGTGTTGCAGACGTTGGAGGCGAACTGATGAGGTCACGCGACGTTGCTAAAAGAAGCAAGTAAGGTAAGCGCAAGCTACACGATGCGTTGTAATAAAATACATACGTTTGTATGCATGTATACGCGGCGGAAACCACTTGCGGAATTTTACTTCCGAACGAAACAAACTATGGGGTTCTTTGTATGGTTTAACATATATTTGCTCATCGACAATTAATTTTTCTCGAATTTATTTACTTTTTCAACTTTTACATAATTTCACATCACGTATATGGTTTCACCAAGTAGACAGCAACGACGTTAGTGCCTTTACCTGTCGAACCAAAAATTTGTATATAATAAACAATTTAGTTTTTAAGCGATTTACTGAACATATTTTTTAAATAATTAATTTTCATATCACACACATCAAATAATATTCATGCTCGTTTGTGCCGAATATTCAAAGTTTACACCGTGAAATTCAATTATACTTTTTACTTTTGTTTCATTTATTTCGACTTATATTCTATTACACACTGCTTCTTTTCTTCCTGGCTTAACAGCGAGTCACTGTTGCTTCATCACGGATCTACATATGTACATAGCAAACACTTGAATAAATCTTCATTACCTTAGTGCACTTTAAAATACAATTTACATTCGATATTGCAAATAGAATCTGTAGTTTATTTGGAAGTTTTGAAATCTCCGAAATACTATTTTCTTGGAAGAATTTTTAAAAAGAAATCCGACGGACAATGAAAATATAATTTCGCCGTCTACTTTGCACGCACACTCACACATACGTACATATACGTCAGCGGCTAGTAGATGGAGAAAAGTCAAAAACACTATTGCCAACAGAAAGAAAGCAATACAGGGTTGCAAATTTAACTATCGTCCAGTTTTCAAAAAAAATAAATCTAGTACTATATATGGCTAGAATGTAGCTTTGTATTCAGTCGAATATAAACTAGAAAAAACTTAAAATATTATCCTTTATTGAGCTAAGTCATTCGTATACAATTTAGTTTAATATGTTATTGTAAGTATTCCCATCTGGTGCAAATGAGAGTTTAACGGTTTTGCTAGGACCCCCTCTGTTCTTTTTGCGCAGCAATTATTCAGGGATTTTCCTGCCCCATATTTTTCTATTTCTATTATATACATATATATATTTGCCGTTTTGTAACCGTAGAAGCAATTTACGAAGGAACTACTCCTCAAAATTGTGGTACGCGTTCTGATGATTATGTTTCAACACAAGTGGAGACTTATAATTTTTTAACCAATGGTGGATTGATTTTTATGAGCTATGATTTTATGTAAGAAATGCACCCGGATAGCTTAAAAGTTTCTGCCGAATGGCGACTGGGCTACTATTATTAGAAAAATTCTGTGAAAAACGCATATTTTAAATAAATTGTATTGTAAATGTACATCTCCCATATAAATGAATCGATCATCTTGTTTAAATAAGCATTATCGCTTTCGTTAAGAGCAATCGATTTGAGTACGTCGAAATCTTTCTCTAAGAGTCATTCGGTAGTCGCGCTACGGTTTCGAGCTCATGGAGCACTTCCTTCGCAATATTTTATCTTATTCAAAACACCGCTAATATGCTTCGTTAAGTTCTACTACAAGAAAAATGCAGCCCTTCAAAGGCAACCTGATCAGAAAAGCTCCTAGGTTGAAAATTGACAAATGACAATTTGACGGCACATCAGTCCAAAATCGTATGTTTTCATTTCAGCGGTGAAGTTTGCATAATCGTCGGATTGTAGCGAATAACTGACTAATCTATATGTTTCCGAATTCCAAAAACATATATTGTTTTAAATAAAATCGAGCTCTAAATTCTAACGACGCATTCGATTTTCAGTGAAAAAGCAAAATATCGACAATTTTCAGCTATCGTTGACGTTTTTATACACACTTTAATTATAGTGAATTGTAGAATCGTATAAAATTAGCAAAAAAGCTAAGTACAGAAGCTAAATTAATTGCGGCAACAACAAAATCAACAGGTAACTAGAAGTCCAAAGTTAAAAACGCAATATGTAGTATGAATAAAATTGGGACGAGTTGACTATTTTTGGCATTAAGAAATGCATGTGTGTATTTCAGTGTGTTCATATGCTATTTACATGCATACGTTAGGTATGTTTGTATGTAGTGTAAATGAATGCGCCGTTTATGGAATTTTTCCATTCACACTATTAGATACTGTCAATTAGTAAATCATCCAATGAGTTTTGTCAATACATTTCTTTCACTAGCCGATTAGAGAGTGCGACTATTTTCGTTTCGGTTTATGTATTAAACGAATTTCCTAATCTTTATACGTTTGTGCTCATGTAATACCTATATAAAATGTACAGACATACATAGGTTCGAATATATTTATTTGCTTTTGCAAAAACTGTTTCACCACTGTACCGGTGACCCTGCACTTGTCGCAATTTTATCGATTAATTTCCGTGGAGTTTTCTTTTTGGCCAAGTCAACAAACGCCGAAGAACCACATACGAGTACATATGTATGTGTGTAATTCTAGGCAGTCGGTCGATTTCACTTTGCTTGCTCACGTTCATAAGTATGTATATATATATTTCTGTTTGCTTTTGTTTTGCTCTCATATTTTATTTTAATTTTCTTTTACATACGCACACATCATGCTACTGCAAATTGGTGGGGCTTCAAAGTTCTGCATAAATTAATTGATTATGAAGCAAAAAACCGTTTTGAAATTAAAACTTTATAGGGAAGAACTTAATTTTGAAATTATCCTTCAAAACACCTGTTAAAGATTGAGGTTAATTAAAACGTAAAAAACTAAAATTGGTATTCTTTCGTACTATTAACATACTTTCATAAATTTATGTGCTCTCTGTACATATGTGTGTACATATTTACCAACACATTTCAACACTTATTGAAATTAGCAGTTATTTAATATTTACCTTTTTATATTATGCCCATGAATATCTTTTTTTTGTTTCTTTGTTTTTACCAAAACTAGTTTTAGAAATCACGCGCTACGCAAACGATCGTACTTGACTTATAATTTGCAAATATCGATAAATTTGTTCTCACAAATTATATTCGAACGTTTTGTTGGTGAACAGTTGTGATAAAAACAATTGTATTAACTATGTCATGAAAAAATAATAAAAAAAAAAATACTGAAAATTAGTAAAATAGAGATTCCCAATAAGGTCCCCTCATTTATTTTTAAAAGGAACCATATTCAAAAAATACGCTTAATTCTTTTAGCAGGATTTTTAAAATATTATATCCAAGGCAAATTTCGCAAGCTCTAGTTACTATTCGAGGCGAATTGACTATAGTTGGCCGCAATAGGCTCGCAAATGTCATAGCGTAAGCAACAATAAATTCAAAATGAATTAACTATTCTCGTGGCTCCACAACTATCGTTTCCTTTGAGTTTCTTCTGGCGCGATGTTGATCAACGCAGCCTTGCGTTGTTAACAATGAGAACTTTGAATAAGAGACGAGGGGCAATCGCTCGAACAAACTCACTTCACTTTTACAATTGAAAATCGAATATTTCCTTTACTGGGGTCGATAGAAGAAAACAGCTGTGATATCAACCTCACCTTACCTGAGTTCGCCTTGCTCCTACAGCAGCGAATTCATGTTTTTTTCATTTGTCAAACTTAGAGATTGTCAAAATACTTTCCAAACTTTTTTTTTGCTTGAATTTCATTTTTCCTTCCTCCTTACTGTGGTTTGCGCGAAAAAAATTTTACAACTGAGGGTTGGTGCTCTTTTCGATGATTTTCCTTGTGAAGTCTCACTTGAAAAAAATCTGGTTTGTTTTGGAAATTGATATTTGAAAATTTTTATTCCAAATAAAGTTTTAGGTGCATTTGAAAAAAAAATATTTTAGTATTAAAATCTTTATTTACCTCTTTAATTTCATTTGAGCAAAATTTATCACTTACGGTAAATCTATATTTTCACTCACAACTGTATTCGGATAAAAATAAATTAAATTGGGTTCCCTAAATATTCTTTTTTTATGCATTATCTACTAATTCAATAGATTTTGGTTATGTTTGTGTGAATAAAATGTCAGAGATAGGTGATTATGCTTATTTTTATCATATTTTATCATATTTTTTATTAAAATTTTGCTTATTTCTCTTACGAAAAATTTTATATATTTTATTTTAATTAGCTAATATTCCATAGTGTATTTTTAGAAAATGAAGTGTTTGCCAAGAAACAGCTGTTGTGATATGATGGCTTTGTACAATATGGAAATATCCAGTGTTTTTGTTTTCTGATAAGAAAAAGACGATTTAAATTATATTAAAAATAAATATATCAAAAATTTGTTCAGTTTCAGTTTAATTCCAAATGATCGATGAGCATGCCTTAAGTGCATTCACAGTACTATAGAGACTTCACACCTTACGAGTATATTACTTTGTGAAATACTTGATAATTCTAATCACTCATTCAACTGTGAAGTGGCAATCAAAGCTCAAATATATTCAAGAAAAAAAGAAGAAAATACAAAATTCAGACTTTCGTTGAGGCGATCGCCGCTCAGTCAATTTTCTATTCTTCTCTACCAGTTCCATTTGATTAAATATGACATGAGCGTGATAATTGATCGAAATTCACGAATATTGGCAGCCGCTAATGAGTAAGCAAAAAGTTTACTGATAAGATACTGCACCACATACATACATTCATAAGAGTATGTATATAAATATGTAAATATACAAAAGTACTGATTTATATTATATTAATATTATGATTATAGTAGATTTTATATTTAGCACGAAATTTGCTCTATATATACTCTAAATCAAATCGTTTTTATTTATGAAACCGGCTTTGAGTGCCTAATTGTTAGTGCGATTCGTTAATAAATCTTTGTTAAAGAAATAAACAGAGCATGGACTTCTACTTATTAGACGCAAATATCATTTAAATCTTTCTTTTCTTTCTTTCTTGAAAAAAAGTCAGATACCTACCACATTTCATACTGCCTTTCGAGAGGAAGTATTTTTCTTCTTTTTGACATTTCAACTGCTTAGAACAATTTGAGTCGGCAGTATAAGTCCATAGTTCGCTGATAGAACATTTGCTTAATCACTTTCAACGAGGCTTTGATTTATTTTCTTAAATATAAACTTGTATATGCATAATTCATTAATTCCCACGTTGCCTATGTTTTTTTTTCTTTTGGATGGCATGCGCTATTAACTCAGCCAAAATACAAATTTAAAATTTGAAATTACAAATGTTGAGATTTAAATCATTTATTGCTTTATTACAGTGACACGCGATATTGAGACCACAGCTTTCGAGAAAGTTGTATAAATATTTTGTCATGTCTTCGAATTTTCGGAATGCTTTCTTATCTCGATTTTTTCCGCAGCATTAAAAGAGTTTTTCCTCTTTCTCTCGAGATTCATCATCCTTTGTTTTAAAATTTCACGTGTCCTCGAAATCCATTGTGTTAAATTTAGAAAATTTCAAAATGCTTAAATGACTGTCTACAAAATCTCTTTCTATTGCATGCCACTTCGAATATTTTGATATTTATTTAACACACATGAGATAAACAAATTTATATAAAAAGAAGTATTTGATATTGAAACGCCAACGTTAAACTAATTATATAATTGTTCTGAACATAAATATGTATTGATTTTCCTAAAAACCCACTTCTATTTCCTCATTTTTTAACAGCTGTTTTGACCGCTATGCTCGATAAAATTCGAATTAAAATTAGAGACCGTATCGTTTTTATCGTTGTTCGAATCAAATCGAATTCACCTATATGAAGAGAATAATTATGGTGTATTTTGTAGCGGGTGTCAAAATTCGGAAAATTAATTGGCTTTTAAAAACGCACAAACTCTGTTCCATTTCCATTTCCATACTGTTTTTTTTTGGCAAACCACAATCACAATATCCCAATTCTCCAGACTGTCACGCTAACAAATGGCAAATTAGTCGAAATTTAAGCAAACAAAATAGAAGTGAAAATAGTTTTGACAATCACCATAATAAATGAATAAAAAAACTTGATTTACAATAGCTGCCGTTTTAACTTCACCTTGTTAAATTCGTGTTGGCTGGAATGAAGATTCTGATTGAATGAGACAGAGAGCCAAACAAAGTGTCGTTGTATTGTATGATACAAGTTTCCCATAGTATCGTGAATTCCATTCTTCGCCTTCTTAATTACTACTGCGAATTACTCCGTTCATACGGCAAGTGATATAACAGTTTCATTTGAAAAAAGGGAAGATGTAAGTTTTTAGTAAAAGTTTATGAAATAATGCATTAAATTGGTTATTTGAAGCGAATTCAAAATTTTATTAGCTGTCTCTTTATATAATTTCACCAAGTTTAATAATTGCCTTTACATTATATTTTTTAAAAAAAAATTTGCAGTTTTATTTTAAATGAAATTTAGTGATTATTATTTTTATTATAATTTTTTTACATCCTTTTCGTTTTGATTTGTCACAATCAGTTCCATAAATATCCGATATAAATTATTAAGGTTACGATTTAGTCGTAATTCGCATGTTAATTGAGAATAAGTTACACACTTTTGGCCTAATTCGCTTTCAAAAATTTGAATGGCAAATTAAGTAATTCGGCATGTATTTGGAGAGTGAATTACGTTTGACAGAGTGAACAACGCAGGTGACGTGCCGTGGAAAAGCTTTAATATATTTTTCATACTATAGAAAACATTCTTACATATATTTTTAATTTAATTTTTATTAATTTGCTCAGTGTAATTTAAATTTGTTTGCCATTATTTTGTATTTAATTCAATGCTTTAAATGCAATTTGCACTTTGCATATCTAAACCTACTCCTAATTCGCCTTTTGCTGATTAGTGTCTAAAAATACAAGCAATTTGGCACAAAATAAATAAACATAAATACTTTATTTCTTATAATTGAATTATCTTCAATATTGAAATATCATGTGCCATAAATTCTTCAGACAGTCTGATTTGCAAACAGTAATTTGTGTATATGCATATGTATGTATGTAAGGATGTATAGCACACAATCAATTAGGTATGGTTTTGCATGTACTTATTTCGAATGGCAGACGGAAGGCGGTTATCGAAATTTCTTCTTGTCAATAAAGGAAATTTTTCCGATCACACCTTTCTCTCTATAATGCATTGTTTGTGCGTATGCACGTTATCGGCGAATATTTCGTCAATCATTATCGCTGGCAATTTAAAGTGTGGTGCCACATGAAGCTTTTGTCATTGAGATGGAAAGAATTGATTTGTTTGTTGGCGATTTGCTATTTCGATAACTTAATTTGGACAGGATGTGTACACAATAATAAAAAAATACTTTCCCACTCACTAATTGTTTTATAAGCATCTTTTTTTTTTTGTAAAAAAATAACGATGAATTTGATTTTAGCATAAATTGATTACATTTTAATTTATCATTGCTTGTTATTGTGCGGAACACTCACTAGAAGTTGTCTGAAAGCTATTTAACTTATTAAATAATTAAGATATGGCGGCATTCACACAAAGTTGGTTTGACAGCTGAGAGTGCTGTAGCCTTGACAATCAGCTGTTAAAAATAAACAAGAATAACTCACGTAATCAGCTGACGTAAGCAATTTAACAATTTTATATGCTAAATATTTGTTTTTGAATCGACTTATTGGCTTTTTTTTCTAATTTTCGCTGAAAAATATAAAAAAATATGCATTCATAAATATTACGAGCTTTTTGTGAATAATTGCAAACGTGACTCATTAATTACATATGTCAATTGTTTTAATTTAATTTAAAGTTTTCCCAACGGCCCTATTAATTGTAAATTATAGTAGTAGTAATGTTTTCATGGGCTTAAAGCTCATTCTTATTATAATAAAGGTTTTCAGCGCTATTCCTCTTCTAGAGCACAGAACCCGAATATTCATGATCGAGAACATTCTTAAGGTTAAGGTGTGAGGCAAGAAAATGACGTCGATACATGTATGTTAGAAGGCGCAGCCTTAAGCTCCATAAGTTTGTCAATTTGTAAATTTTAGTCGAACAGTTGAGTTGTGCGTGATAAGTAGTCAGTGAGTAGCAAAATTCGAATTAGTAAGTCAAAGCGAATACATTCTTGAGTAGCGAAATTCGATTTAGTAAGCCAAAACGAATCCATTCTTTGGTAGCTTGTAATGAGCCGAATTTAATGTGGTGTTACTACGACAGCAAATTCAATTTTTCTCCTTCATTGCGCGTAAAAATTGTCAAATTATTTATTATTTTATATTAAGGCGAATTCAGTTAAGGTGAAGTTTTCCTTCTATCAATGTCAGGCAAAAAAAAGATGTATGTAAAGTATACAAATCATTCGGTCTCCAATCGTAATTGAATTTAGTATTTCGACAAAATATAAACATTCACCCAAATGAATTTCCTTAGATAAAGTAATTTGTGTTCTTTTTAATGCAGTTTTCGATCTTTTTCTTTGCTGATGTTATGACATTAGGGAACGCCAATATTCGCTCTTTTCGCCATTGTGGCCATCTGCAGTTGGTTTATGTTTTGTTAGTTTAAATATAATTTTTGAATTCTCCTTCATTTGGAGATGGAAAAGAAAATCAGCTGTTTTGTTTGAAATAAGTTGTGCGAGTGAGTCGCTTTGGTAATAAGAAAATATTTTTTCAATCAAGGCGAATTTAAGGAAGGTGAAGTTGTCACATCGTATGATTGCTTATTCTTCCTTCCATTTTACCAAATTACACAAATAAAATACATAAGTCCTTTGTTTTTGTATTCTTGCTACTACTGTGTGTGAATTTGCCTTGGTTTCAATTGTAAAAACTTAACAGTGTCCTTATTTTCGATGTACAATGCGTAAGGTATCACGAATGCTCTGAGTTTTGAAACTTACATTCAGTTGTTTTTATTGTTATAACCGCAAAAATATTTCCCAGATTTGTTTCCGAGTAATTTTGCGTGAGTGGCAACTCTCACCCGAAAAAAATTCAGGTCGTTCCGGTATAGAGACCCGACTGTCGAGGGGACTACTAGATTTTAGTAGCCCTAACCCTCAGGAATCCCAAACATTCAGTCTTTACACCTGCTTCAGCCAATTACTGTATGCGCGACTAGAAAATATTTTCAAAAAACTCTACATAGAAATCTACTTCAATTATGTTGAATATTTTTAATGTCAAGTCACTCAAATTGTTTCAATTCTAACGACAAACAATAAAAGCCCAACCGTGTTTTAAATATAAATACAAATCTAGTTAAGGATTATCGCTGTATCCTTACTATTTGAAGTTCAAATCATACATTACCGTTGCAATGGTAGAATGTTCGTTGTGCTCGCTATTGAATTTTCTTTTCAATTGCATCTATCATGTGATCTCCTGCGCACTGGATTATCCACTGGTGGTGATAGCGCTCAGTTTCATAATAGCGCTGGTTTTCGTAACAAATATCTATACGGCAAAATTGATTTGTGATTTTCGTTGTCCGATACGTGTTAGCTCGGCGGGCGTAGGCAATTGTAGTGGTGGGAGTGGCGGTATTGGTGGTGGGTTTGGCTCAACGCAATACGACTATGGTCCGGATAATGGTGAGCTGAGTTCTTGGCATAGAGAAAATGTAGTAATGTTGTCGTGTGTGCTTGTCTCATTAGGTCCACACAATTGGCGTTGCTCGGATGCTAACCAATCACCTATAAATATTATTGAGGAGAATGTGCAGAAACTTCCCATACGTGAGTTACTTTGCTGGAATCACTATGATGATTTACCCAGTGGTATTATGTTGGAGAATAATGGACATACAGGTTTCGAAACTCAATTTAATTGTTGGCTACAAACTTATTCTATCTACCTTGACCATTCACAGTTGTGTTGCGCGCCTGCTTCTCTGGCAACACGCCTACGGTAAGTGGCGCTGATCTGCTCGCCTGTTACACCTTCGTTGAGTTATGCTTTCGCTGGAGCCTTATGAGCAACGATGGCTCGGAGCATATGCTGAATTACCGTAAATTTCCGCTAGAGCTACAGGTAGCCCTACATCACATTTATCTTTATTTGCAATTATAACTGTATTGCTCTAGGCCATGCATCGCACCGGCCCCAGCGGTGACTGCACATCGAGCTATGACATACTCATGATTGGCTACTTCTTCGAAATCTCATCGAACAATCCCTACTTGGATCCGGTTGTACAAAATTTACAACGTATACAGAAGCCAGGTTCCAAAATTGAGATCCCGCCATTTCCACTTTCCTATCTGCTATATCAATTTCGTACTGGTTTCTACAGTTACGGCGGTTCGCTAACAGAGCCGCCTTGTTATCAGGGTGCAGAATGGTTTTTATTTCCGGAGCCCTTAGCAATAAGCGAACGACAATTGAGCGAGTTTCGTCAGTTGCTTTCGAAAGACGGCAAGACACGTATATTGCGCAACTCTCGGCCCGTCCAAAACATTAATTGTACACGTGTGATTAATTTAAATCAATATAATCCCATTGATGCTTGTCAGATGGAGCAAACACGGCCTGCAAGTGATGTACAGTGTGAGGAGGAGGAATGTCCGGAATAGAGCAATTGCCCCGCACGGGAGATGAGTAGTTCAAAGCTATTATCACTTTTTCTATTTCCTATATTTGTAAATTTATTTTACAAATTAAACAGAAAAATATATACATCCATGTGCATATGTATATATAGAAGTATAGTTTTGTATAAATACATTTGGTTTCATTTTAGGTCAGCCAAAGATCACGCATATAAATATTATATTACGAGGTGTGACAATCAAGTAATGAGACTGATTCCATAAAAACCGTTTTTTTTTAGAATTCTTCTGTTGTACAACTCTGCCATCCCCTACAAAGTAGTCCCCTTGGGCAGCTGTACAACGATTCTAGCGCGTTTTCCATGCTTCGTAACATTTTTGGAACACTTCGACTGGGATGTCCGCGAGTACCCTCGTCACGCCCGCTTGGAAATCCTCAATCGACTCAAAATGGATTCCTTTGACCACCGAGGGCGGTGTGGCATGGCTGGCGCGTTGTTGTGATGAAGGATCTAGTTACGAGCGATGTCTGGGTGCACCCATAGACTCGTTTTCGCAATCTTTCTAGTACTTGGCGATAGTAGACTTAATTTAGGGTTTGCCCCGGTGGAAGAAATTCTTTGTAGACGATGGCACGACTATAAAAAATGCAATAATCATAGTTTTCAGTTTCGACTTGCTCATGCGAGCTGTTTTCGGGAGGGAGATGTGTTTCCGGGTCGTATTGAAAAAACCAGCTTTCATCGCCTTTAATAACTCAATCAATTTGGCGCGAAATTTTATCACGACGCGTTGCTCTTGATTTCCATTTTCACGGCGAGCACCACGACACAGCAGGCGAACTTAACAAGCAAGAGCGATGGCAAATATATCAATGGACAGTAAAAGAATGCCCGGGGAAGGGAAAGGGAATTTCAAGGTCGCAAGATTACCACAATCGTCGCAATATCACCAGTCTCAATACTTTATTGTCACACCTCGTATATATATATATGAGGTGAGGTGAGGGAGGGATTACAGAAATATTCGTTGAGTTACATGAAAGTAGGGAGGTGTCCATTAAGGCCTAAATTATGATTACGTGGCTTGTGGACAATCCCGATAAAGCTCAATGCTTACCAATTGCAAATAGTCCTGACATAAATATCGATTATAATTTTGTTTATCGGAAGCACACGAAGCTCTAATACGGCATTTCCACGACAACCCAATTAAGTGTCTCGATCTCTCGATTACGAATGCGGCGCGCAGTTTGACTGTTTTCGGTGTCGCTTGTTTGCTTCATTTGAAATAGTATGGAAAATGAAAGATTTTATTAGAAGTTAACAAAATCTTGAATTGAATTGGTAATGTAATGTCAGTTTATTTAATAATATCTAATATATTGGTCGAGTAAAAAGTAGTCAATTATGTTTTTATTAAATTGAAGATTTTATTTATCAACGGGTCAATTGGAATTTGAAGTCAATGAAGTTATGCCTTTCCCATAGAAACCATGGTCAATCGAGTCAGTATCGATGCGTCTGATCTGACTATGTGCTGAGGAAACACAATTCCTCTCCTTTCGGCTAAAGCTGGGCGCTTCTGGGCGATTTCTTCCTTCAGACGGTCCAATTGCTGACAGTACAGGCCCGAAGTAAGAGTTTGGCAGTATGGAAGCAGCTCATAGTGGCTGATTCCATTTCAATCGCATCAAAAACACAACAGAACCTTCCGTGTTTGGATATCGTTTTGTTTGATGTTGTCACCACCCGCTTCAGAAAGGGGTAGATTTGGGTTACGATTAAGCAGCGATTCGCAGATGGATGATGAGGTTTTTTCTAGTTAACTCATTTGGCATCCATACATCGAGCTTCTTTCCGGCCTTCTTCAAGTGGTTCTACACTGTATTTTCTGCAATGTTTCGACAAATGACCTTCCACATCTGAAGCATCTTCTTCCACATCTGAAGCATCTTTTACAACAATATTACTTTCTCGTTTCTGGCGTTCATCTTTGACATAGGCTGAAACACTACTGAGTTAAGTGGTCAAGACTTCTCCCATTATTTTTTGTAGTTTAAGATATCATCTTTCTAACGCCAGGGCGAGATAGAGATCTCTTAAGCCGTTTTTTTCAAAAATAATGGTTTACTTCTTACTAGACCAATACAAATAATGTTTGGTTTCAAATAAAAGTTAATGTCCAGTAATTTCTTTTTAAGTTTTCATTTGCTTTCTTTGTCTGCTGATTTCAATAAATTTCCGATAAAAATAGATACCACGATGTGGTTGTAATTCACATCGTAATTGAGACGTTTGACTTAATTCCATCGCAAAAATATGTATGGCGAACTAAGTAATTCGGCAAGTATTTGGAGTGCGAATCACGATTGAGAGAGCGAACAACGTAATTAGGGTGCCGTGAAAATGCCGCTAATTTATCAGAATTTCATACGCTCTCAAAATTATTAATCTAGTAATTACAAAAGCCTTAACACCGAAAGCATTTAAATGACATAATAAACATAAACTTATGAGCGAAAATATTTGGTTTGCTATTATAAATATTTCTTAGCTCATAAAAGCTCTAAATTTACCGGCTTTGAGCTTTTGTTTGCATTATAAAAAAAATTCGCCCGCCTAACCAGGGAGGTCAGCTGATTTTGATGTGTCGGAAATGCCTTCGTGCGCACTGAAATTTTATTTATTAACTTTTGCTTAGATGAAAGCTGTGATAAATGATAACAAATGAAGTTTTGTTTTTATATCAATGTACGCGTGAGCTGTATCAGCAGCGTGACTTTTTAAAACAACTGAACTGAATTTTACCGTTTTTTCTAAACGTCATGCTTCCATGCAGTTATCGCTGCTACCTATGTACGTATGCAAAAATGTGGGTCGCTATTTTTAGTTAACGACCCCACAGTTAAAGCATTTAAGTCATATTATGCAATTGAAGTGTTGCCATAATATATAAATATTTATGGTATAATTGGTGCTTTTCTAACCGCTGAAGCGATTTTCGGCCGAGCTCCTCCTCCAATTTGTGGTTTTGCGTCTTGATGTTTTTTCCAACAAATGAGGGGTCCACAGTTTATACTAAGACACCTCTGAACGGCTGATGGGATTTTTCGAACGGCCTTTATTTCATGTCAGAAATACACTCGAAGGGCTGGACATTCCCTGCCGAGGAGCGACCGCAATTAGAAACTTCTAACTTAATTTTTTTTTTTTGAAATTTTGCTTAACTTTTGGATGTTGGTCGGGCCAGGATTTGAACCCGAGCCTTCCGTATGGCAGTACGCAAAGCCATCGCCACCGCAACTGCTGGTATTGCCATAAACCAAAAAAGATCTTAAATAATTTTATTCTTTAATTAGTTTATTAATATGATTGGAACTTTATTGGCAATTATGATAACGGTAATTTGTTATGATAAGGAATATTAAAATTGTGATTTATAACAGTTCTATTCAGCTATGCAGGTAACTCAGAATGCTGTGGAAAATTACCAAAAAACAATTTGTGCGATTATTTTCTCAATTAATTCTCGATTCTCGTTTAATATTTAATCAAATTTATAAATTGTGTTAAATATTTTTTATTTAGTTGAGTTAAGGAAAGGAAAAATAAACATTGCGAAGTATGAAGGCTGGCCATATCAAGGCGAATGTATCGAAAATCGATAAGAATCGCTTAAGACGAGTTTGATTTATTGATCTCACCCCGATGTGGTGTGTGCTTGAGCACGAATAACGGATGTGCTCGTACATGCACCGATATAATACCAAATTTCATTGAAACGATTTAATCTTTCAATTGTGAGACTTTTGCACTTGCAAGTTCCAAATTGTTTAAGACATATTTCTATTTTGAAATAATTAAATTGCCTAATCTGAAATGTAGTTTATTAAGTATGGCAAGCTCTGAAACGGAAATGTCAAAATGACGAATTCCGCTTCCTGTGAAATTATATGAATGTTAGACATTAATATCGCATTATCAGAAGTTTTTGCGAAAATTTATTAACGTCGAACTAATATTACAAAATTATAAAATAATTTTAAAATAAATTGCTTACTAAGTGCTGCCGTTAATTCATTGATATCTAATTTTAAACAACATTTCTGTTATACTGAATGAAATTGTTTCATAAAGAAAATCCATAAAAGGTTACAAAATCTTATCAGCTTATTATTTTAATAATCAAAAAACATATGTATGTACATATATACTCATTTCGCAAGGTGTAAGGTTTGCACATGAGATAAGCTACTTTTGCTCAAGCTCTACATACATGACACATGCCAGCTCGCGCAAGTGCAATGCCAGTCAATGAGTAAATAAATATTATATATGTGTACTCGGGCATACATATGTACATATGTACATATCTATGTCAACCAATGCCGCCACTCGTTAAATATTTAACTACTAAATTGTATTGTGATCCTGAAAATTACTTATTTATTTTCATTCGTATTTAGAACGTTGGCACGAACGCAAGCTTGCCATTGTACATACAGCCGGCTGTTGGCGGTGGTGGCGGCATTGAATGTCTAGAAAGTGCAACAAAAGACAGTCACACGCAATTGAGTTTCCACGTAAATCGTAAACATTGCAAAAAATAGGTGAATAAATGAAAAATCATTAAATGTTGAAATAAAGTAGACGCGATTTAAGTGAAGTGAAAATGTATTGCGCCGATATCAATTTAAAGCAATAACAACAAATAATGCAATTTAATTGTTTCGCTCGTGGCAATTCACATTCGCTTTTTTTTAGCTTATTGCCTTATGTCTTTTGTTATTTTTATGCGCTTACGTTTATGTAACACATTCTGTCGGCGCGGAATCATCAGGTGTTTCTATATTTGCCGGTATATTTCTGCTACATTGCGGGCATTCAGTTACATACATATGCATGTAAATGTATATGTACATGTGTGTTTGAAAGCCTGCATAGTTATTTAAAATCAATAAATTGTTATTAATTGAAAGAGACGAATGCAATTTTTCAGCTTGCTGAAGAACAAGCATGGCAATAAACAATGCAATTTGACAGTTTGATAAATGTTACGTATACGCTGTGCACATCCGCGCGAGATTGACAGCTGTTCTTATTGAAAATTGAAATGAAGGCAAAGGAAATGAAACTTAATTTGAGTTAATTTCAAATGAATATATTTTTGTTATAAGTTTGTGAGCTAACTAAAATAGCTACGCTTTCGCATAAATATTATTTTTTAACGTGCTTTATTTATTCAAATCGGTAGTGTGTAAAAATACAATATTTCTGGTATTGACAAACAATTATTTTTAAACATTTTTTATGCAATGAATAACATTCGCCTACGACGGCATCAAATGGTGCTGGCAATTCAATATAAAGTGCGCAAAAGTGTAAAAATATGATAAAGCGTTATCTTATTACAGACGAAGAAAATAATTTTTTATTCTGGAAGCTACTAGGAGCATGATAAATATATGTATGTAGTTAGATAAAATTTCGATTATTTGGCATGTTTTATTAGCGACGAACAAATTGAAACTAAATTAAACAATAAATAAACTTAAAGCAACAAAATGTGTGATTTAGTGCAAAAGTATGTTTTCAGAAAGTTTTAAAACAAAATCGTAAACGAAAGGGAGAGCATTTCTACAAAAAACTCCACGCTTGCCTTTGTAATACAAACATACGTGTACGTTTATTTTGGTTTTTATTATGGAACGCTAATCTTGATATGACGTTGTTAATCGGTAATATCCGGCGAGTAATGTAATTTCGTTTATTTTAACTGAGTAGGCGTGACGTAACATGCTTCGTGATAACAGATCTCGATACTTACACATATACGTATGCACATATAAATTCACTTAACTTTTATCTGTAATGTAAATGTACGCCACTTCAACTCACGTGCAAAAATAAAACCAAACAAAAAATATAAATAAATAAATAATAATTTTGAAAGTCTTGTTATACTTTGCGCCATTGCACAACGAAGAGATAACAAATCCATGTTTTATTAGAATTTTTTGTTTTCGAAAATCTGCGTGAAAAAACCGACTTAGAAAGCAAGAATGTAATCAAAGTTTTATATGAAGATAAAATGTAGAAAATAAAAGTTATATAGTACAATAAAAAGATTATTTAATGTATCCAGCTCATAAATATAAATACAATATTTACTCTACATTTAGTATCAATGCCACACTTGACAGGAAAATACTTATTTTTACGTGTACTACGAGTAAAGAAAGTGTTTTAAAGTTAGTGACTAAAACTAAAATGAAAGCAACGCTTATCGGTATTTGTTGTCTGGCGCTGAGATAAATATATGTATATGTATTAGTAGCTTATTGAATGAATTTATAGCAACGTCTCAGCGTTAGCGTTCACGTACAATTGATAAACGAGCAATCAACAAATATAAATTAATTTACTTAGTGTGCCGGCTGTGTTATAGTATTGTGCAAGCAACTTGTCACGACACCGTTAATACCTTTAGCATACCTTAGTCTTGGGTTTTAACAATTTAGTGGTGTCATCGAATATTAAACTCTCAATCAGCAGCAAGTATTAACTTTAATTGCCCCAAAATACATACATACATATATATATACACACACACACCTGTACTTACACTTAAAAAAGGAATTAATAATTGATTATAGTGAATTACAAACTATAGCAAACAGCCTGTGTAAATAATTAATGTAAAATAAATAACGGTTACATGTCAATAGCAGTGAAAATAAACAGTACTGCTGTTTTCACCGGTATTTAAGTGATAATCTTTTAAACCGTATCTAAATACATATTGTATAAATATAAATAAATTTTGTTACTAATTTATTTATTAATGTTCATTTTCTCCGTTAAAAAATCTCTAATTACAGTTCTTGCACGCCTACGTTTGATACTTCCTTTGTAAACGTGTGACTAATAAAATTCGCCATCACGACGCAGTACGCACTTTTAACCGTTAAACACATTATTTGTGTCTACAAGGTGAAGAAAAAATTCATCGAATCAGTTAATAATACATAAAATACTCGCTAATCGCCGACATTCAGCAGATATTGGTGGAACAAACGCTTGCCAACGACCGGACACTAGTCACATCCGCAGCCGCAGCCGCATACGCCGTGTATTAACGTCCATTCTATAAAACCAACGTCGCTTAAGCCAAACCAACACCCACCCACAAACACACACTCACAATGCCCGTTCAATCTCCCATCGCGATTAGCAATCGTGCCATTGAACATATCGATGATGTCGATCCCTTGGAATATCATGGCCATTGGGAACCAGTTGGTGTTGCACGCGTGCAAAATACCGGCACCTCAGCAATGGTGACATTTGCCAAACGCAAACAACAACCTTACATTAAGGGCGGTTGCTTACATGACAACAAATACATATTCGAACAATTACATTTCCATTGGGCGGACACGGATGAATCGGGTTGTGAGCACACTTTGGAAGGTGTTAAATACTCGATGGAGGCACATGCCGTACACTATAATGCAAAATATAAGGATTTTGCAGAGGCTAAAAATAAACCCGATGGCTTGGCTGTGGTGGCATTCTTCATACAGGCCTGTGGTGGTAACGATTGCCCGGAATTTAAGAAGATTACCGAAGGCATACGCATTGTGCAGAAGATAAATACGAGCGCTTCGTTGGATTCGGGTGAGTAATTAAGACATTGAGCTATTTGTTTTTTGCTTGTAAATAACTATTTTACTTTTTCTCATGCCTTAAACAGATTGCTTGTCCTGGATTGGTTTGCAGGAGCTAAGCAAACATTATTATACATATAAAGGCTCGCTGACTACGGCACCATACTTTGAGAGCGTCACTTGGATCATCTATCGCACGCCGATATACGTCTCCAAGGGACAGGTGAGCACTGGGAAGCTAGAGAAAAATATTGAGCTCTTAATTAAAGGAGACAAATGTAGTACAAGGGGATTTTAAAAGTTTCTCAATATTTGGTTTCAACTTTAACTTTACTTCAACATAGTTCAGCACAAATAATATCCATTTTGTTCGATTTGAGCAATAACTTAACTAAAAAATCGTTGAAATTAAATAAGCAAAAAAAGTTCATTCTTAAAAATTAAAATTAATTTAAAAAAAATTATATTAATTTAACAAAAATCCTCAAATTTGGTATGAAGTAAATAAATTTCAAATCCGATTTTTGTTAAAAAAAAAAAATTTAATACAAAAATACTGTCGAAAATATGAAATCCTTCATCTGCTGTAGTGCTGTTGTTGTTGTTGTTGTTCTAGCGGTTCGCTAAGCCCGCTTAGGCACAAGTTTGCTCAGTCTAAGTCGCCGAGGTCATCTAGTGGTAGGTCCAGGAAACGAGCTGTTTCGAAGGGGTTGGACCAAAGGGAGAGGGGGGTTAGATGAGTGGGTTTGAGGGGGCATGTGAAGAGGTGGTTAGTGTCGTGCGGGGACTCTCCACATGCAGGGCATACGTTAGGTATGCTGGGGTTTAGTCTGGATAGGTAGGAGTTTAACCTGCTACAATATCCAGACCTGAGTTGTGTCAGGGTCACGCGGGTCTCTCGAGGCAGCTCGAGCTCGTTGTCTGCTATGGGTGCAGGAACTATTCAACTATTAACACAGGCCTTCCTAACCGCGAGTAAATTTCGCATACAGATGATTTCGGCCACGGACTGTTTTCCTAGATTTCGTGCGAAACTTCATTACATAATTGAAAAATATAATAATCTGAGAAATAATTTTAGATCCCACGTTATGTTTAAATTCTAAAATTATGATGGCTCCAATGCGTTAAAGCAGTTAAGAGTTAAGAGTTAATTAAGGCCCCTAGTACACTAGTATTACTCTCTCTAATAGGGTTAAAAATATTCACATAATATTAATATATATTTTTCCCATTTCTATAGGTACAAGTCTTTCGCGATCTACAATCTTGCCCGAAGGATGAGAGCAAGAAAATTGTGAATAATTATCGTGAAATTCAGCAGCCGCATAAAGATCCCGAAATCTACTTTGCGCGCAATGCCAAACCAAAGTCTAAATTATGATCTGTTGCCGGGCTGCAGCATAAGAAGAATACACTGTTAAACATATTTTTTTATAGCACGACACTTAAAAACACAAAGCAAAAGGAATTGAAGTAGTTTAGAGAATCACTTCGCACGCTATTAAATTCTTTATTTCTAAATTTTTTTTAATTTTTAACTAAGCACTCATATGTAATATGTGTGTGGTTGCAGTAGAGTTGGCACTAAATGTACCACCGACGCACTCGACGACTACCAAACATAAAACCACTATTCTCACCTTTTGTCACTCAGTCATTACATGTATTTTATTGAACACATTTATTACACGCATATATTAACTTTATAACCAAACCGGGTATCAACAACTCGTTTCTTGGAGGAAAAAAAAATGCCTAAAATAACCAAAAATGCAGCTAAATGCGTATCAGGATATTGTTTTTCTGTTATTGAATAACTAAAGAAAACATTTATTTCTCTTTTTCATAATAACTATGTATATGTGATTTATTGTAGTTTATTGTAGCAAGACAAGGCGCTAATTGTGTGCTATCTCCGGGTATTACTTACCTCTAAAAAAAAACACTTAAAATTACTGATAAAAGATTTTTCCTAAATAATAGTATATGCTATTTTTATTTAACTTTTATATTATTACTGTATATGTATTTATATAAATTGTGTAGGGTATAAATACAATACATATGTACACTTAAACGTACATACATACTCATATGTATGATATATATATATATATATATAAATATGCAATGAAAAAGCAAGTAACTGGGTCTAAACAAAACACAGCAAATAAACATTCCTCATACATATATAGTTAAGGAAATTTACGGAATTGCAATATGAGACATTTTGTTAGCATTAATACTATTTGTTTTATTTAAGATGTTAAATGTATGTATGTTTGGCGCATACTACTATTTTTACAACTGTTTGTATGTATGTATTATATATTATATGCTTGTTATTTGAGAAATTGTCATATTTTTATATTCTAAAACAAAAAGCAAGAATGATTTGTGCCGTAAGTACAGAGATATATGTATGAACATACATGTGCAGGTATATATATTTCAAAGAAATGTAATAAATAAAATTGCAAAAGAATATTATTTAATAATATCTATATATTTGTGTGTATTATTTTATGAGTTGTTTACCAGCGGGCAGTTTGTTTTAAAACAAGGCAGAGATACTATTTATAATTTCATTATGCTCCTAAGAGTATGCAAGGAAATTATATTTTTATTAATATTTATTTGTTCCAATTCAAATTTTTGGCTGTGTTTTCTCAAAGACCGCTTGTGAAACTCATAACAGAGCTGGGAATCCCAAGGGGTGTGTAAAAACCTGGCTTTGTGCACACTTCACTGCTGATAAAGAAACCGACCTTGATTAGAACTATCCAACCTCGGTTAGGAAAAGCATGTCTCATCGCATGTGTAAGTGCAATTTTAATTCTAATGCAGCTGTTAACTCCTGCCATGAGGACACCACAACAGATTTGTCTCTCTTTGTAAATCCCTTGGCCAAGTCCGGATTGTTTTTCATAAATTCAATGAAAACACCAATTTGTGTAGCATTTTTAGGTCTTCCCCTTCTCATGCATTATTCATGCCTTACACTTATATTCCGCTTGCAAGAAAGTTAGCACACAATTCTGGCAACGATTAACTGCTGGGCTTAATTCTTACACTGAAACCGATAAATCAGTTTCTGTAACACAAATCGATAAAAATTTTGTTTCGAAAATGAAACCGAGATGCAAATCAATAAACCGAATGTGTAATTCCTTAAGCAGAATTTTGTCGGTTCCAATTCCGATTCTGGCAACAATATGTTTCTATGACACCCCTGGTTATTAGCGTTTTGTAACCGCTAAAGCGATGTTCGGCCATGCTCTTCGTACAATTCGTGGTATACTTCATTACGTTCTCCTTACAAATAAAGGGACTTACAGTTTATTCTAAGCTGCTTCCAAACAGTCGATGGATTTTTATAAGGAGATCTTTTTTATTTTCTAACAGTAATACACTTGGAGGGGACATTATCTTACTAACGTACTTTACTTACGTAACCGCTGCTTCTTGATTCGATGAATGTCGCTGCATAACTCGTATAGCACATCGTTCCATCGTCTGCAATATTTGCCATTACCAACGCTCAAAGGACCATAAAACTCTTACGCAAAATCTTTCTCTTGAAAACTCCTAACGTCGACTCCTCAGCTGTTGTCATCGTCCATGCTTCCGCACCACATAACAGGACGAGAACGATGAGAGACTTGCAGAGTTTCGTTTTCGTTCGTCGGGAGAGGATTCTACATTTCAATAGCCTACTCACTCCAAAGTAGCACCTTTTGGCAAGAGTGACTCTGTGCTGTCAATTATGACTGTCAACAGTGACGTGTGAGCCAAGACGCGAATGCAAGGGGAGATATTTTGTCTTGTCCTCGTTGCAGACACTTTCGCGTCGCTTCTTTATCAAGCATGGAGAAAGCAGAACTAACGGCGCGGTTGTTAAGGCCGATAATGTCCATATCATCGGCGTACGCCAGTAGTTGTACGCTCATATAGAAAATTGTACCTTCTCTATTCAGCTCTGCAGCTATTAATATTCTCTCCAGCATCAAATTGAAGAAATCACACGACAAAGAGGCACACTGTCTGAAATCTCGTTTGGTACCGAAGGGCTCGGAGAGGTCCTACCCCATTCTGACTGCGCTTCTGTTGTTGTCCAGCGTCAGCTTACACAGCCGTATAAGTTTTGCGGGGATACAGACAAAGTGGAGTAAAGGCAGCTCCTATTCGTGCTGGGCGTCGATCCTCTTCTCACGGGTCTTTTCCAGGATTTGGCGCATGAATATCTACAGTTTGTTGACGGTGGGTTACAGTCTTTCACACAATACGATCGTCAGGACTACATAGGCGATACTAAGAGGCTTATCCCACGGTAATTAGGCAGAGCACTTAAATTCCAATCGTCAGACATGCTTTCGTCAGACCATATTCTGCAAAGGGGACATTATCTGTCGGACATTTATCAGTTTCATGCAAAGACGTGGTTGTAATGATTCTGTTAATGTCATTAAGATCGCCTAAAAAGAGACCTATGACTTCCTTTAAGTGTCATTCGCGAAACACTTTAAAATCAAGAAAGGAAAAGCAATAATTTAGTATGCAAAATCCACACCAAGATTATACAGTTCTCTTAAGACAGCAGCAATAGGAGTTCCTTGGATTCCAAAATCGCCAGAGATCGGCGGGAAAGTTTAAGAAGATATTATGTAGTTCAATGTGAATAAGGTTAGAGGCGTGTGAATGATTTCACGCGTTCAGCGGCTCTGAAGGGTATTGCTTTATATTGTCAATATAAAAAATTCTTTTTAACGTACCAAGAAAACGGCTCTGCTTCATAAGCATTATGGTACTGAACACTACTTACAGAACACATCATTATGTTCTGTGCATAAGGTCTTCACGATCCATCAGGAGGATTCCATTCTCTGTTCTATAATTGGTTTTGTAATTACACGGATGTGAAGACAGATGGGAAATTTCAGCTGTTTTTCCTTAGGCCTCGGCGCCCTAGCGTGCGCTTTGCTGGTCGCGGGAAGGGGTTCAAGAATTTTCTCGCGGTAAGGCATTCCTGTCGCAGGTGGTGACTAAAATACAAATGTTCCCGCTACAGTTGGGTTTTATACCGGAGCGACTCGGATTTTTATCCGGCCAAGGACTGTCACTACCACAACATTCCCCGAAAACTACTTTGGCCAGCACCAGAGCTAAGACAGAAATGGAAAGGTCTATCTCTGGATAAATCGGAAGCTGTGGTTAACAAAGTCTTTCCGGAGCATTTCGATAAGAAATAAGCGTACGGTAAAATTAATAAATTTCTTTACTCGTTTACAAGCGACTTCCATCACCATACGAGTTCTTCGGTTCCTTTGATACACACTGTACGCTGTAACTCAATTATTTATTCGATTTTGTACAATTTTCAATTTTCCTTTCTACAAAGAAAAAGTAAGAATTTGATGTTTTAATTTTCCTTTTGACTAAAAAATTTAAATATACTAATTGGTCGGCGTTTATAATAAATATTTTAGTCAACCATTAAATTTGTTGGTATATTTTTGTATATTTTTTAGAACGAACATCATATTTCAAAAAGTTTCCCGTCCAACAAGGCAAATAACAAGAATTATCTAAGAAGCAAAATAAAAAGTCGTTTCCAAAATGGCACTCAACAGTTTCATCAATGAATTCTCGCCGCCTTCATCAGCGACCCTGGAACAACCCGATCTGACACTCGGCAGGACAGGATTGATGGTGCACAACCGACACATTATTATGGAGTTGGTCAATCGCATCTTTGATAATGAACGCGGTAATGTGGAGCTATCCTCCTCTCATTGCTCGAGTGTGGCGAAGAAAAGTTCGGAATATAGTTATGATAATCGGCTGAAATACTGGAAGGATGTGCTGGAGCAACGGAAGCGGGTACAGGCGAGCATACAGGAGAAGACTGGAAAGGAACCGGCGCAGGTTCTCTTCAATCGTGCAGTTACAGTAGATGAACGTGACAAGCAGACCGTGCGTCGTTTGATGGACTATGCTGAGCGCTTGAACCCCTTGACTATTATGCATAGACGCGAACGCGTATTACCGGAGTACTTTGACTGCAGCACCTGCCAACAAGTGCAGGAGTTACGCGAAACTTTGCCAAAGGCAGAGCGTGATGGCGAGAAGATAGTCGAAATTACCGGCTTACCGTCGGTGACCAAGGAAGAGCTGTTGGGCAAACCAAAAGAGCAAGGCGGAAATAAGAAATCCGATTGGTTGAGATCGAAAGTTTTGGAGCAACGGATTGGCGAAAAACGCGAGGACTTGGAGCGTGTAATTGAATTCTATCCCGATATCGATAAGCTGCAGGTGGTTGGCGAGAGTTTTGATAAGATGCAAACGCTGCGGCACAATGCGGACATACTCTACGTGGGCGAAGAACAAATACACAAAATATCACAAGATTCGATTTGCGAGCAGAATATGCAAACTGGTGCTGTAGTGGAGCAACCGTCGCAACCCGACTGCGGCGTGCGCATTAACGAGCATGTCTTTCTACTTAGCGAAAAGCGTAGCGCCAAGTATGTAGAGTTGGAGGTGCGCTTCGAGTGCGAACCCTTCGAAAAGGTCGTTAAGCGCGTTTTACATCTCGAGAACTTGGGCAAAAAGGTGCTCAGCTTCGAGTGGGTCCATCGGCCGTATTATGACAAAAATTCCAATCTTTTGAAAGGCTGCGATGATGAGTTCATCTTCGAAAACAAGCCATTTCGCCTCATATCTGGTGAGTACATGGACGTTGTGGTGCAGTTTCAACCGCGTCGAGCGGACATTACTAAACAAAAGTGGATGCTTAAAATCGATCCACAATTCTTCTGCCGCAAAGTGGATGCAGTTGTGGTGCGCTTGAGCGGCAAATGTAAGCCAGCGCCAGAATATATTGGCAAAATCCATGCTGTGCAAGCGGAAGTATTGGAAAAATCCAACACGAAAATGGTGCGCCAAATAACGACGCGCTTAGCTTCACTGACCACGCTTATTAAGCCGCCGGAAGTGATTTGCCCCTACAAGCGTACACTCACCGAGCTGGAGCTCTTCGAATTCACTAATCCCGGGTATCGCTGTGAACGCTATCACGACATACAACTGCTGAAGGAGCTCCATCAACGTTTGAAGAAGCCACGTGAGCCTGCCTGGGACCTAAATATTGAAACGTTGAAGGCGCTCGTTCTACGTCAGGAAAGTGCCGATAAGCGCGCTTTATATTTCAATGAAATGATTAGTATCTTGGATCAAATGCGTGGTAAGCCTCCTATAGAGTTCGAGGAGAAAATACTCGACAATACGGAGCGCGAGCGTACTTGCTATGTATACGTGCGTGGTATTATTTCGGCTGGCATTGATGAATGGGAAGAATTGACGCTCACCATAGAGGAAGCTTTTCTAAAGGTGGCTTGGAAGGAATATATGGAAATTCAATATACCCAATCAGAAGACGGCGCTGGTGGGGATGCTGAAAATATCGAGTTGCTGTTGAACGAACTTGATGAAGATGAAATTAAAATGTGGCTCGTTAAGGAGCTGCGCCATCGTAAGGCGTTCCGTGATACGCTCTATATGCAGACTTATACTCATTTATGTAATTTTATCGAAGACATTGTCTCGGTTATCGAGAGCACAGACATCGTTTAAGCAAGCGGCAACTTATGGTAAGGTAACTCTCTCGAGTATGATTCGGTAGACAAATGTTTCAAAAAGATTTGATTCCCATCGTTTTCGAAGATAGCCGAATACGACTGATCAGACGGGGTTCCTATCAATATTTGTATAATTTTTATATTTTACTTGTACATACATACAACACAAAATAAATATAGGAAAAATTATCGTTTCAACTAGAACAGTCTCGGATGAAGTGACTACCCTTGGTTGGATATAATCCGGATCAAATCCGGGCGTAGGTATTCAAAGTGTTCTCTCTTTTAACATTTAATAGATTAAGTTATAGGAATTTGTTCATTGCATATCACGAATTTTATGTGAAGACCATATATTTATGTATAGCTGAGTATTAGTACAATTTACCAAGTTAGAGTTTAAGCATGAATACAGAGATCTTTTTGCTTAATATGTAGGTGTTTCTTAATTTTCTGTTAGTAGTGGTATAATATTTTCAATAAACCATTTGCTTGTCATTTGTAAATGGTCACCCTCTACCGATAAGTATACGAGTCTACCATCACTATCCAATTGATTGAGTCCAAGCTGTGAAGAAAGAATAAATCGAATAAGTCAAACAATACTCTACAAACTTCACCATAAACTTACATCCTCATAAACAGGGCTTTGATTTAGTGGCCGAATTTCTTCATCCTGGCCCGGAGTATAAAAACCAAACCATTGTGATTCCTTGGGCTGGACAATAGTGTCATTTAAGAACAGTACCATAACAAATCTGTAAATAAGTTTAAATTACTTAATTCACAATAAGTTCATATATTCATACTCATGCGTATGGCATGCTTTTAACACCTACTTTTCTAATTTATTTAAATTGTCAATATAAGTTTGGTTGATAAAAACTTCATTGTTGATATTTGAAAGAAATGAGCTCTTTTGGCGATATTCCTCTTCATTCAGCGGATCATGCCAGTAAGTGGCTTGCACCAAATTTCGCTGTACCCATCTGTTGATTCGAAAAAAAAAATAAAAGAATTATTGTAAATATCGAATATTTAAAGGAAATTATACAGCGCTACTAACTCTTTATAGGCCTCGCGATGCAATAATTTCCGCAAGTGCTCACATGCACTATTCGATAGTGACGGGCAGCTTGGCAGACCGAATACTCCTTGGTGTTGTCCGCCAATGGATATTAGAGTTTTCATGGGTGGCGTAGAACAACGCTGGGCAACAGCGCGTCTACAATATTTAGAAGTTATCATGTACATATATTACGATTAGACTTCAACTATGTAAATGCTTTTAACTTACAAAAATTGACCGCCTTGCGAGAAACCGATGGCATTATAGCCATTTACCAATCGGTCGTCTTTAGCCAGTTGATCGCAAACATAACGTACTTGGTAATCAGGATGTATAAAGAAACCACTTTCATAATCCATCACCATATTACCACCAATTTTCAATGAAAGCACATAAGTGCCATTTGTTTCAGTTTCTATTAGTTTCTTTATGGAGCCCAAACTGAAGGGAAAGCAGCAGGTATCACCTGGAAGCAATGGAAGTTTAATTACATCGGCAGTTGTGCAAAAGATGATTATATTTACCCATGCCATGCCATAGAACTACTGGTAGTGCATCGGTGGATTCTGCTACAGCGTAATAGCAAAATAATAATATTATAAAATTTTTAATTAAAGTCATTTCTAATTTATTCTTTGGCTTGGTTGCTTAATAAAATCTTTAACGTGGAACGGGTGTATTTAAAGCATTCACTGAGTCATAATTTCATCACAACAATTAACAACAAAACACGCAATTATTTACAAAAATCCAATTATCTGCTTTTACCATCTAAACGGACACTTTTGTTTTATTTATTAATTATTAATGATTTGACATTAAGCAAATAAACAAACAACAGCGTTGCATCTTAAAGGTATTGTCCTGTACAGGGATGATTTTCATTATGTGACAGTAATTTACTGGTACTGACAGTACGGGGCAATATTTAACGGCACCGTCTTTGCAGTTTATTTTGAAAGCGTTATTTCAAAATAAATTTAAAAGATAGCGTTAAATAAGTATATATTCTGTAACTTCATCGCGAAAATTAAAAGATTGCATTAGAAAATGGAACGCAGCAAAAAGTGACTATTTGAGGTCACACAATAAATTGAAGGGTGTAACGGATTTTCTGAAAGTTTTCGTTTACGGGGTTTCAGTTCAGGGTTTCAGCTAGGTTGTAGATATCTGATACATTAATATATTCACGAGGGTATGACTTAATGCCACCGGACGGCCTTCGAATAATTTAAAACCGGTTATAGTGGATTTTCAACGCGGTTGCATATACCAACTTCATACCAATTATACAGCACGGATACGTCCAGCAATCCCCAAACTGAACTAAGTTCAATCTGCCCAGGTGATAGCACAGGCAGCTAGGATCATTACTGCCTTTCCTCTTCTCAGTGATAATACCTCAAGGATGCCCAATCTCCCAAGCTCATCAGCGTTGTTAGTTCCATGCTAGGAAGGCCAGGTGTTCTTTAAAAAGATTTGAGCGCATCATCCCAAGCCAGAAAAAATGCTGGCATCCCTAGCCGAACTGATATTCCGTAGGAATTAATCCAGTTGACATTTGCTCACATGTCCTCCTCGTATCCACATTTGTCACGCTAAAAACCTATGTACCTGACACTTTTTGATTAATTGCTCCAAGCCCAGACACACCAGGACATTAGTCCACGGCTGATGGACCTAAACTTAATGGCTTTGTGGAAGAGTGCATGCCCCCGAGCAGGCAAAATCCGCAAAAAAGAAATATAAGGCTCGTATACTTATGGATTATCTTTTATTGTTATTCTTTTATTTGCTTATTTACATACCAAAGTATAATTGGAAGTACCGTTTATTGTTATTACATAATAATGATTTATAATCAGATTCCCTTGAAATACTAATGCACTCCATTGGTTGCTGCGGTTGTACCAATATTTTGCTGCTGCTGTTGCTGTTGTTGTGATTGTGATTGTTGCAGCAAATGTTGTTTATTACTCGAAAAATCAATGCAAGAACCTGAGGTTAAATCAATCTCCTCAGAATCTGAATCATCCGAACCCTCATCCGAGCCGTGCGCCAAAGCATTTGCCATTGCACTTGGATCCCCCGCCAAACCGTTCATGCTCATATGGGCCTGCAAAGCATTACCCAAGCCATGACCATGATGTTCCTTGTACAATTTCAGCTCTGTATAAGTCTTCTCGCATCCATTTGGTGTTTTGCCATTTACGGCGTCCGTTTTAATTTTATCCATTGTGTCCGTATTCATTTTATGTGTTTGCTGTTGATGTTGTTGTTGTTGCTGCTGCTGAAAAGCTGGATGCATCATGGTAAAATCGCTTGGCATAGACTGACCGTTGGCTGCAAGCATTGCATCGGCCGACGAGGCAAGACCATCCTTCGATTGTGCGCCACTTGAGAGATTTTCGGCTGTCAGTTCTGTTGGCGAGGCGCCATTCATTGCATTTGCACCGGGTATTCTGGGCACTCGATCGCCTGGTTGGAGTGAATAAAGCAATAATTTAGCATTAAAGTTGTATGGTTTGCACGATTGGTTAATACCTGCCGCTATAACAGTAGGTGTGCCCAAACTGAGACAGCGCATACGCCAGGCATCCTGTAGGAGTTGTAAACGCGCCTGCTTTCGCCATTTAGCCCTACGATTCTGAAACCAAACCTTTAAATATATAAAGATTATTGGTTTTAGTTTCTATTAGATAATAGAGACTGTAAATAAGCTCAAATTTATTTAACGAGTTGAACCAAATGGTACCATGGTTCAGAATATTTCATACAGTAAATGCGATTTCCAAAAAGTACAGATTTTATGAAAAAAGGCGGAAATTCATGGAGGATTTCGTCAAAAATTTAAGATTACCTACAACATATCGACGTAACGACTCTGCTTTCAATAAGATTTGTAATCGTGTATAATTTTAAAGGGTGCTTTTTTAGTCATGTGGTTCTCAAGAAGAAATGAAACGGATATTATTTAATTCCAATCTAGAGAACCAATTACTAACCACCCAATCGCGCATATACTCCTCCAAAGCGTAAATGATTCAGGGCTTATCTGTCTAGACAAACGACTCCACGTAACCCCACAAAAATCAGTATACGCCGCAGGCCCTTTGGGAACATAGACCGTCAACATCTTTACCAATCAATTTAGGCTCGCAGAAGTTAGTCATGGACGTACAGCATTCCTCATTGACCGTAAAATTATGGCAGGCTTAATTTGTGAAGAAATATTGATCAGGGGAATCAGCCCATGCAGCACACCAAACAGTGAAATTTTGATTAAGTAACGACATCTCAGCATTATCATCACTCCAAAAAGATCCACCGCTGAACAAATTTCGTTTTGGGTCCATTCACCGAACGCGGGACGCACTTGATGATCGTTCAGACTCAATTCTTGCACGCAAAATCTATTTTAAATTGGATGGGCACAGCTCCAATTATTGCGCCCCATGCGGATAGACTCTTCGATGCTCTCCTCCCTCACACAGCGTCTTAAATGGCGTCGCTGAGGAAGCTCATTATTTTCTGGAGTAAACGTCGTGGGAAGTTAACTGCTCTGCTGGGCGTAGCGAGATACACTAGGAGGGTCTGATATAACAGCCAAAAAGCGATCATATTTAGAAAAAACCTCCTGCGGGTTAGGGGTTTAGAAATTTAAACGCGGTAAGGCATGCCTGTCGTAAGAAGCGACTAAAATCCAATGGTTCCCACGAGAGTCGGGTCTTTTTACCGAAACGACCCGGATTTTAATCCGGTCAAGGACTGTCACTCCTGCAACATTTATTACAAAGTCCCTTAATATATATATATATTTTTGCAGTTTCAACAACAAAAACAACAGAAAAAACTGTTCTATAATTTTAAATATTTGTCTTATTTTGTCCCCACTCAGCCTTAGTCTCTTATATAATATATAAATTTGTTATTAGTAATTGGGCTCCATTAAACCTCATTAAACAAAGATGTTCCTCCAAATCCGGATTAACTTAATCAAGCGATTTGGACAATATTTTTTTTCTTAAGAATGTTCATACGACCGATGGATTTTCTTGAAAAGGGATCTCATTTGGTAATAAGGTTTAACGTCACTGAGGTTGCTCGCTGGCTTTTCTTTAACAAGTTTTAAATGCTTGTCTTCTCAGATGGCTTGTTAATGCCTTCGAATAAACTGGACGTCGGAAAAAATCAAGACGCACACCACAAATTGAAGCAGGAGCTCGGCCGAAAATCGCTTCAGAGGTTACAAGAACCAATTATATACAATCTCAAAAAAGTGGACAGAATAACTCGATTTTTTATTTAGTTTCCTATAAATTAATTAATAAAAATTATAAGGAATTTGAAATCAATTTTGTTTTTTTTTTCTAAAGCTCGAACTTATACTTATATGTAGACTACACCACATTTCAACTTCGGCTTTGGCAATCTCTTCGGCACAATTGTTCGGGAAAGGAAAGTTTGGGCTGTGGATTTCATCTTTCCACTGCAGCGTCTCCTAAGCAGAATTCATTGCAATCACGGAAGGCACCTATTGGATACTAAAATCTGTGATCACAGGCCAAGCTGCCATAAAATCTCTACTATGCAACTACACTAAGACCAAAATGACGCTAAAATGTATTGTAGAATCAACGCAAGCCCTTGAATAACATTGCCTTGATTTGAGTGCCCGGCCATAAGGACTTCTCAGGCAATTGGCAGAGTAATAGAGCTAAGACAATGGGATATTACTCTAATGATTTTTTTCGAAGTTGGTCTTTTTGATTTATACTCAGTTGGGTTTGCACTTCTCCATTTCAAATCGTACAAATTTGTTATCAAATTGATGGTTCGGTTAACGCGACACATCCCCTGCTGCCTGCGATATTCGGTCGACATAATCGCAAAGGAGAGTCGATAGTTCGCACATGCATAGATCGGTTTCGCGCCAAGTCCCCAGAGACCTCTACTCAGTGAATGATTTTGCGGAAGGATTCCAAAACGAGTTGGCCCGATCACGATTTTAGCAAAAACAATTTTTTATACGGCAATGAAGCCAGCTTTTGGTTAAATCGGTACCTTAATAAACAAAATAGTCACATTTGAAGTGAAGATAATCTCCAAGCCAATATTGTGACGCTGTTATATCCTCAAAAACCCAATTTATGGTGTTCTCTTTGGATAGATGGAATCTTGAAACCGATCATAATATCAATCATTGGGTAACGCTGTAAAGCCCTGACCAATGGATTTCTTGTGGATGAATTGGAGGATGTTGAGGTGGACGACCTGTGGTTGCGACACGACGGCGCTACATTCCATACAACCCACAAAACTATCAATTTATTGAAGGAAAGTTTTGGTGAACGCATTCTCTCGCATCGTGGGCCTGTGGTATGGCCTCCAAGAAAGTGCAATTAAACACCGCTGGATTGCTTTTTGCTGGGTTATGTAAAATCACTTAACTACCTAGATAAGCCCTCGAAGATTGACGCCTTGGAAGAGAATATTCGGCCCGTTATTACTGATTTATAGCCACAAATACTGCAAAAAGTGGTTGAGAATTGGGCTTCTCCGCTGGGATTTATTCGAGTCACTTGAACGATATCATTTCTAAAACGTAATGACAAACTCTTATCCTCCTCTCCTCTCTCTCCTTTGTGGTATAAGTTTTGATGTTTTCCAACAAATGGAGGTACCTGCAGTTTATTCTGAGTCGCTTCCGAACGACCGATAGATTTTTATGAGAAGCTTTTAATTCATGTCAGAGCTACAATCTGATGGGTTGAGATTTCCTGCCGAAGGACGAGCGTAGTTAGAAAAGCTAATTTTCAATAATTTTGGATGTTTGTCGAGCCAGGACTGGAACCCTGGTCTTAAGAATGGCAGTACGGAATGCTTGCCACTTGGCTTCCGCGCCTTATCTTTATAATAGAGCTAAATTCTTGGCCATAATATTAAATTATATACAAGTGTTAAAAAAACACCCTTTATAAGGAGTTCTAATATTAAAACCGTTATTCTGCTGGCGTTTAATTTCTGGAAGAATCTTTCCTCTTTATGTGATTTTAAAAGAAATTTTACACTTTTCGATTCTTTTCGGTTTGTTTGTTTAGTATTTTTTATTTATTTTTATTTTTGTTTTTTTGTATTAATTTATAGGCATATTTTTTAAGACCCATTCACCACCATGCAAACTCATTTCCATCACACACAACAATTTTCTTTCTTTTAATTGTATTTTTCGTCAACTAAACCTCTTAAGTTTCCTTCACCTGCACACGCGCTTCACTCAAACTGATCCGCAGTGCCACTTCCTCGCGTAGAAACACATCCGGATAGTGTGTTTTCTGGAAGAGTGCCTCCAGCTCCTGCAATTGTTGAGGTGTAAAAGTTGTACGATTACGTCGCTGACGTCGCCGACCGAACATATACTCGGTTAAGAGATCGCCCGGTAGAGGTGATAAAAATGGACCTGCCATTTCTTTAAACGAAATTCAATTTTGGATTTTCGCGAGAGAAAAAACGCGCCTTTTTTCCCCAAACGCGTTATTAGCGTTTGAATGATTTTAAAGAATCCCTTCGAGGCTCGAGGCTGTGCGCAGATGTTGCAGCCAGGACGTTCGCGCGAAGACTGTGCGCATCCATGGCAATTGTATGTCCTTTTATTATTACATCGCCGCTTACCATTAATGTGTCCTTTATGAGCGCTCATTTGCAAGTGGAAGACGCATTCTCTGACGCTATGACAACAGGATAATTGTTTATGTTTATGCATGTGTGTGTGTGTGTGTGAGTGTGTATTGCATTGTGGTGCAGGTGGTGGTTGGGCGGCAAAAATAATAGTCAAGGAGATAATTGGTAGTGTAATTGTGTATGTATGTACTCGTATGCGCGAGTATTATATGGAATTTACAATTCATTCAGACCCGAAGCTCACGCATGCAGTTTATGCTTTTACTCTGCTGCTCTCACTCGGATTTAAGGCGCTCACGAATGTGTGCTCTGTGGAGAGTTGTTGATGGTTTAATGTCCTTGTTATCGCAACAAATACAATTGTATAAACTAATTTGCTTAAAATTTTATCCAATACAATTTGTTTAGAGAGATAGAGAGAGTGAGAGAGAGAGAGAGACTGAAAGAGAGAGTGAGAGAGAGAGAGGTATATGGGGAAGTATTTTAAAATGGCCTGAGGTTGAGCAAAATTATTAATAAAAATTATAAATTATTTCTTTCGTCTGAAGAGAAAACAAAATTAGCATACATCGAACAAGAGATAAAAATAAAAATTTCCTGAATTTCCATCTAAAAGAATCCGAAAGAATATCCATTATTGCGATAGAAAGCCAGTTTTTACCCTCAAATCCCCACAGCCGTCAGCTGCAGAGAGGACTAAATTAATACTTATATTAGCTTAGCCAGGTCGCTTGGTGAGCTTTCTTTAGATGGAATGTAATAATACAGATAACTATCATTCGGACCCTGGCTAAGTCGACCACTTCAATCCATTTACAGATACTTTCTTTGCCCACCCTGGCATCAAAGTTACCAAGTACAATTATAATATCGGAGCGCGGGTAGTGCCCAAAATATACCCCAGCCGCTTATAAAAGGCATCCTTGGTCACAACGTGGTTCTCTTTCGTCGGAGAATGGACGAAAATTAGCGATATAATAAAAAAAATTGCGAATTGTGGCGAGCAGTTCCTCTACCGAAATAAGCGCCAGGAAGCCACTCATCCGAAGCGTTGTTTTCCTTACAGCTGGTTTCTATGTCGTAGATCCCAAACAAAGTGCAGAGCCACGCGAGGCGTGTAGGTTTATATAGTCAGGCGCTTGTTTCAAGACCGCCGCCTAGAGTCGCAGTCGTACCTATGGTGGGCAGGCGCTACTATAGGTATAGTAGCTTGTAAAGCAGAACTTAGAACTCTCATGGGCGTATTGAAGCAGCATTTACTCCTGAGATGTTCCCTTCGCAATGTAGCTAAAGTGGCATTGGCTACAAGAAAGAAGACGAAAGGCTGGAGAGAGTTTTCGGTCTTTTGAAGTAAGTTTTCTTACCTTAGCCAAAAAACTACTCGACTAGTTTCAACCTCACAGGCAAAAACCCGCTTCATCCTAAGTACACAACAAAATTACTTTGTGATAAACATTATGGCGTTAGTAGCAAAATCCCCGGCTGGGAGTTGCTTAGCTTCAATCCATTCGTAGATAAATCCGACTAGTTATGCGCGAACGGAGGGCGAAAGAGGGCTGAGAGCGGATATAGCGAACGCCACCCGATAACTTTATCGGTTAATTCTAGTTTTGCCACCATACCACTCTACTTCATTCTACGAGTGAGGCAACACGCCAAGACATGTATCTTGCACTGCATAACTTGTACAATACCCAAATCAAAAATTAAGTCCCAAATAAGAACGGCGCCGCTCCCGGAACGCTACACATACTCGTTCTTCCTTCACATCAAGGGTTTTGATTATGCAGGCCCATTCTTAGTAAAAACCTCCGCACTCAGCCGAGCATCTCACTTCAAAGCCTATGTGTGCATATTCAGCTTGAGATATGCTCCGATTTGACCTCAGAAAAGCCGCTTTCGCACATTTTATTGGAAGCAGAGACATCTTACTTAAATTAATATTTGACAACGGTAAGATGTTTGCAGCAACACCACAAGCTTCTCAAGCTTCCTTTCTTGGAGAAGTTTCAGATAATGTAGTAAAAACATACGTCATCCAACATACGCCCATCACACGGGCGGACTCTGGGTGTCGATAGTGAAAAGTTTCAAAACACACTTCCCGAAGTTTGCCGGAAGTTAAAGTTCTCATGGGCGAGTACTTCATCACATTACTAGTGCCTACAGAAGTGGTTCTTAATCAAGACCGCCCTTCCCAATGTCCTAAGATACCAATGACTCAAACTAATTATGGTTTTTGTATTTTCATAAAGTACCGTATGGTAGGATGGGCGTGGTCGACGTTCAAATGTAAGCATTTGCTACACAAATTTAAGTTGGAACCCAAGACACCTGCCAGACGGATTGATGGAGGAAGTATGAAGCATGTCTAAATCAACTCGCCTTGTCAAGTGTGGCGTGATAAGAGCAAAGAAAAGTTTGACGAAGCGAAATGTGGCACTCGAAGTTGGGTTTTCCGAGCGTAACTGCTGAACTCGGCCATGTGTTGACTCGGAGTTGGTCAAATAGCGCCGAGCTCTCAATATTTAATAAAAACTCATATCATCTCATGCTTACAACTACAAAGAGCTTCTGAGTAAGCTTGGATGTAAACAGAGAAAAATAATAAATAAAATTAAACAACAATATTTATGTATGCCCTTTTTGTATCGAGATGACCAAAAGCGACGTCGGGTTGGAGTTGGAGCAGAAGAAGAAGCAGCAGCAATGCTCCGGTGTGTGAGTAATGAAATTCAAAAACACTTAAAATTCGAGCAACCAATGAAACACATGCGCTGCCAACAATAAATACAACAAAAACATCAGTACGATAGCAGCAATATGAGTAGTATACAAATGAAACAACAACAAGTCGGCAGCGGGTGTGCAGTTAACAACAGGTTTTATGCAATTACAATGAGCGCAATGAGATAAACAACATTGTGGTAGTGATGAGATCAGAATGGGAGCTGGAGATATAGTAGTTTGTGGGTTGCTGGGCTGATGAGTTGCACCCTCAGGAGTATGTTGGTGTTGTTGTGTTGTTTACTCTTGTTGTTGTGTAGCATTGAGCTTGTATTGTTTGTTATTGCTATTGTTTAGGATACGCTCCAAGAATTGTATTGTTCGGCGAGTATCCTGCCCATATCCTTGCGCTCAACTGTGTCATTGTTGTTCCTGTATTGTATACACATATACGAGTACCTGCGCACATACATACATATGTACACGGGTATTTGTGAATGTGAGTTAAACAAATGAAGGGATGTAATTTTCTCATTTGCACGTTTTGTTTCGTCGTCGTCGTTGTCGTCGTTGTTGCTGTTGTTGTTGTTGTTATTGTAGCCGCTAACTTTTATTGTATAAGTGTATATTTGAGCTTGCGTTTATGTGTATGTGTGTTTCTTGGTATTGTTGTTTCATACCTTGTTGTATGCATGATTCTTTTAGCCCCTGTTGGGTCGGCGCTATACGTAGCAGCTGTGTGGCCGGCTGATGGCTGGTGGCTGCTGACTCTGGCTGGTGGGTGCTGACTCTGGCTGGCGTGTGCTGGGTGCTGGGCGGTGGGGGGTCTAGCGCTTGCGCTAAAATTATATTTATTTATTATTTCAACAACAGCAACGGTGGCGGCTCTATAGCTGGCGTTATGGTGCTTGTGTGTGTTGTTGTTCCAATAGCTGTTTGTTGGTTTGTGTGCGCGGCAATAGGCGGAGCGGCAGTGGTGAATTCAAAAACATTACACAATTGAAGCCAATCATAAGCGAGCAATGTGCTGGCGAAACACGCGCGCGGCGTCAAGAAAGCGGCAGTGTGCGAGGCTGTGGAGTGAGGTAAACAAAAATGTATTATGTTGTTGTTGTTGTTGTTGTTGTTGTTGTTTTTTAATTTTTTTGGGAAGCGTAGAGGCGCGCGCTTTTCATTAAAATTATGAATATTGTTCCATTACAACCACCTCCTGCCGCACCTCCGTTGTAGTTGCTGCTGCTGATGCTGAATTTCACTGGAGCTGGAGCGTTGTTCTCCATTTTTAATTTTGTAATTTGATGTGCAACAGCAGCAACAACAACAGCACCGAAGAGATAAAAAAAAAACAAAAATGCATTTTGCGAAACAATACAGCCAGAAACTCATTAGTCGACTGTTGGGTTGACGGCCACAGTGTCGTTGGATGTGCGCACAGGTGGGCGCAAGCGGTGGTTGGGCGTGTGACTGCTGGTTGCTGTATGCCATTTGACTGGCAGCTGATGTCTTCAGATTGGTGGCGCATTCGCCGAACGAGGCGTGCGACTACTGTGTGTGTGTGTGTGTGCGCTAGCAGTGGGGATTTGTGTTGATTTCGCATTTAGTTTGGGTGTTGCGATAATTTTTTGCTTAGCGAAATAAATTCCCATTGTTTAAGCGCAACTGTTTTCATTATTTAAAGTTAATGCAAATAAAATTTTATGATTATATCTCATATATATATATAATTGACGCTTTGTAACCGCTGTAGCGATTTTCAGCCGAGCTCCTCCTCTAATTTGTGGTTTTTGCATATTGATGTATTTTCCAACCAAATGCAGGGACCTACAGTTTATACTAAACCGCCTCCGAGCAGCTGATGGGTTTTTTCGAACGGCCTTTATTTCATGTCAGAAATACACTCGGAGGGCTTGACATTCCCTTCCGAGGAGCGACCGCAATTAGAAAATTTAACTTAATTTTTTACTTAAATTAATTTTCGATATGTTTTTGGATGTTAGTACGATACCAGGATTATATCTCATATCGGTCAGAAATAAGACAAGCAGAATCGCGCTCTCCATTGCTGACTCAGTCGAAATTAATCCACCTCAGCATATCGCAAACGTTTAGTTGGTGTCTCTGAAATATTTTCCTTGACCTGTATGTCGACGCTAAAGAGTCTAGCAGAATTCTTACCTTGGGGTAAGTAAGCCGGACGTT